GATTGCAGCGTGACCATCCCCCCTGGGGGGTGATTCCTCACTTTCTGTCTCTATGTCTCTCTCTGTCTGTCTGGCGAGCGCACGCGCCCTACAGTGAAAATCTCTCAAAAAAAAGAAAAAAAAATATATATATATAACAAATTAAAAGCTTGCCTTAATCATAAAAACATTTCTAGACTTGGAAGTTTAGTTAAGTGCTACACTAGGTCAAAGAAATTAGTCATAGTACTATAAAAGAAATGTTAAATTTGAAAAAGAGAGGTATAGGGTCACCTCGATGGCCTTGTGGTTAAGGTGGCTGGATCCCATATTGCTGATTGCCTGGTGCAAAGTTTGGACCTAGTGACTTGAGAAACATGCTGGGCATGTGTACATGCATCCACAAAATCCCTAAAGGAGGGAGAAATGGAAGAGAAGGGATTGTAGTATGACCATGCCCCATGCTTTCTCTCTCTCTCTCTCTCTCTCTCTCTCTCCAAAATGCCCATATACCTTTTGGCAAATTAAAAAGAAAAAGTATAGAGATTAAAATGAAAACATCTAGTACACATTGAACTGGTGTACCAAAAAGAGAACAGAAAGTATAGAGGTGATTTCAAAAATGTATTTCACAAGACCTAATTAAATACTAGCGTTGTTCAAATTCTTTGGTGTCTGATAGGCTTGGGGCGGGGGGGGGGGGGGTGGGCAGGAGGCTTCAGGCACAGGGATATCTGTCCCAGTTCCTGCAGCCTCAAAGGTATCCCTTCCCCTGTGGCACGCCTCTTCCCTGAAAGGCGAGATGCTCAGAGTACTTCAGGGCAGAGTCACTGCTCTCACTGGGCTCAGCCATTGGCCTGAGTCTGCTGCCCTTCATGCGGTCACACTGGATTGACTGTGGTGACTCAGGGAAGTAGAGATGCAAGGTCCCTTTATCCCTCCAGCAGGATGCACGTTAGCTGTGGCTCTGTTCCAAGATGGCTCCATACTCTCAGGGTTTGGGGACAGGGAAATCCAGTGTCTTCTCTGGTTAGTGGTTCTGAGAAACTCCCTCTAGTGGGTTTGAGATCCGTGTTGACTTTGTGACTCTCCTACAGTTGGGAATATAGATGCCCAAAGTGGAAATGGGAATTCCCAGTGGGATTTCTTGTTTATCTTTTCCCCACAGAGGGGAACTCCCCTCGGCTTCAGGATCTTTCTGGGTCTGGTACTTTGTCGCTCTCCCTTTGTCCCCATCCCAAGTCGCAGTGCCTCAGAGGTTTCTCCCTAGATCCTTGCCATATCCACTGGGCTCTCCTTGCTCCTCTGTTCAGTACCCCATTATACAGTTCCAGTTTTGGGACTTTCTCCATGAAGGGGAGTTGCCCTGGATATATCTGTTCGACCATCTTGTCTACTTCTCATTTTATAAACGGTTATAGTGAATATCATAAGTTGAGTACAGAATAATTTGATCACAATATGCTCAATATACCTGTGTTGTTAGGATTCATTTCTGAAATTAGTCTGAGGGGTCTTGCTGTAGTATTTGAGTGGCACTGTCTCTTGGTCATAGAGTAAACATACTGATTTGTAGTACTGTGGGTTTCTGGTTGGTTTGTACCAGCTTGGGATCATTATTTATTGATAACAGTGATTGGAGATTTGCACACAGTTCCAGGGAGACTCAGAATGGTCTGCCAGTGAGGCCACTTACATAACAAAAAATATGCACACATGACAAGACAGGTATACATCGAGCCCCAACCACCACTACATTTTTGGGATCCCTATTTCGGCATGTTCTCTTGGGGCTTCCTCAACTACAGAACATATAACACAGAGAGAAGAGGGGAAAAATTGGACTCAAGCCTTGTCATTCTAGATCCCTTGCTGTGTGGAAATATTTTGCTGAGATGCATCTATACTTTAAGTTTAATGCAATTGCTTTTTATATCACATTACTACTATAAACCATAAATTTAAAAACATATTAGGGGAGAGGAGAAAATTTTAGAAATAGTGTCATATTGAGTCCTATGAGTTTTCTTTAGATATTAAATTCCACCTAACTTCTGCTGTTAGAGCACTTAGCATTAGAAGTAAAATTGCCCTGAAAACTCAGACTCCTTTTTAACTAAAAATATTGCTAGGTATTTTTCTTATTGAGGAAACTTGTGGGGCCAGCAGGTGGCATCAGGGTTAAGGCACTGGATTCTCTGAGGTTTGAATCCCAAACCCAGTGGCTTGAAACTCTCACTGGGTACGTGTGTGTATATGCCCAAAATGCAGAGAGGAGAATGGAGGAGACAAGATTGTAGAGTGGTCATCCCCCCAGGGTGATTTCTCACTTTCCCTCTCTCTGTCTCTCTCCAGCAAGCACATGCACCCTGTAGCAAAAACTTAAAAAAATATATTGTTCTTGTGAAAAGAATGGAAATAAACAGCAGATACTAGAATGGTAACTGACCCACTACGGCTTAAAGTAGCATAGGCTTTGGAATCAGTTACAGATAATAAAAATTACCAGTCTAATATGAAAATAATAAAAGCTTAGTCTCAAGATCTAGCAAAACAGATGAGTATGAAATTACAAAAAGTGGCAGGTCAGAAATAAATTAATTTTCTGTGTTCCTGCTTAGCAAAAGCAAAAGTGAGCTTTGCCATTCTGGCCAGCAGATGGCGCTCTAACAGAAGGAACATGGGCGACTCTTATTGGTAAATTGGCTATGCCTGTGACGTTGAAAGGCTCTTCAGTCTTTTCAGAATGGATTAAGGGAAGGGTGGATCAGATGCACTCAGAAAAGGGCAAATGCCTGGCTGCCCTCCCTTGTTATATTAATGGCCAAGAGCCAGCCCCCATAGCTTAACAATTCAGGGAACCAGATATCATATGGCCCACCCCAGTTGGAGTTTTGACCCTGAGAGCTTGAGACACACACCGGGTGCAGGTAATTGCATGCCCAAAATTCTGACGGGAAGGAGGAAAGGAGGAAAAAGGATTGCAATGTAGCCAAAACTCATTGAGAGATGATTTCTCTTTCTCTTTTTGTTTTCTCTCTTTCTTCCTCTTGCACACACATGAGCATGTGTGTCCTCTGGCAATAAAAAATAATAATAGTAATAAAGTGGTCAAAGCCACTGAAATTGCAGAAATGCTGCAGTTGCTGGCAGTATCAGACTAACAGAAACAAGATCCTAAATGGGAAGTCCCTCACTCAAGGTTATGATTGATTCTGTGATAAAAGAGGCTCCATCAGACAGGCATCGTATGTAAGATGCTAGAAATAACACGTATTTTTTGTAGCTTTGTTTTTTTTTCTCATGTCTTTGACTATATTTGATATCTGGATACTAGCCTCATAGAATGATTCGGGAGTATTCCCTCTTCCTACCTTTTGTGGATAAATTTGTAAAGGGTAGTATTATTTTTTTCTTTAGATATTTAATACTCACCAGTGAAGCTAAATGGGCCTGAGCTTTATTTGTTGGAAAACTTTGTTTTGTTTTGTTTTTAGTTTCTTTCATGAGAGAGCAAGAGAGAGAAGAGGAGAGAAAAATACTCTGAGTAGGGTTTTACACCACAATCTTCCCCTCACCCTTTCCAGCTAACCAGGACCAGAGGGGCACAGCATGTATAGCCCAGCCCAGGAACCTTACTCTGAGCATCCACATGGCCCCCAGCATCAGAGAGCATTGCTTTACTGTACCACAATGGCTGACTGATGGTTTTAAAAATACTAATACTAGCTCAATTTCTTTACGTCGCGTGGATTATTCATATTTTCTCATCCTTCTTGGACTACTATATTCCTTTATTTTCCTTCTCCATTTTATCAAATCGTGTAAATTGTCATATGTTTGTTCATTCTATTTCCTTATAAGCCTTTTAACACCTGGAGTTGGTAGTGATGTCTCTTCTTCCATAACTGGTTTTAAAGACATGGTGCCTGGAGTTGAGGAATAAAGCTGGTGTGGGAATATAGTAGATGGAATAGGTCAAGTGTGTATGCTGACTCGTATTGCTCCCCTGTGACAGAAAGGGGGCGCAGGAGTGAAATTCTCAAAAGAAGCATTTTCTCTTTCTCTCAGATCCCTAGTGTGCCCACGCGCACACACATGCACATACACTTGTTTATATTCTTAAAGGTGGAAGAGACTATTCTTTATTCTGTCACCATATACTACTAATACTTAGTGCCATAATAGTACTTCCTTAATTTTATTGTTATTTCCCCATTTGACAGTAAACTTATGGAGGCTAAGGAATGTATCTTATTTATCTTGGTAACCCAATAAGTATGAATAAATGTTGAATGTCCACAATAAATAAAACAAATAAGAGAAATGGTGTCTCTGTGAGTGTGTGGATATGTGCGTGTCTGTGTTAGGCAGAGGACAAAGAAGAGATATAAAGTTGTCCAAGTATCAAAATGTCAGATGCCGTGAGCATGAGCCTACTTACAGTGGCTCAGGACAGGAAAACCATAACAGTATGACAAGAGCGATTAAAGATTTGGAGCTCATATAAAATCGAGGATACTTTTCTACATCTGTGTATATATGCATGTGAATGTTCTTGTTTGTGAGTGCTGAGGCTTAACATGCACACTTAAATACTCATGCTTTCTTATTTTAAAATCAGAAAAATAAATGGTTGTCTCTTAATCTGAAGACCAGCATTTTCGATTAGCTTGTTTGCTTATTGTTTAGACTGTTTGGCATGAGGGAGTGGAAGCTCAAATTGCTTCCATCTATCACTATTGACTTCGTGGTTATAGGGAAAATAGAAAAATTAATTTTCAGGACCAGCAGTTGGTGTAATGGCTATGTCATTGGACTCCCATATAGTTGACCACGGTTTGGCCCGGACCGGGTGGCTTAAACTCACACTGGCTGGGTGTGTGTAGCCATCCTCCCGGGGGATGATTTCTCATTTTCTGTCTCTCTGTCTCTCTCTGTCTTTCTGGCGAGTGCACGCACCCTATAGCAAAAACCTCTCAAAAAAAAAAAAAAAAAAAAAAGGAAATTTTCAAATCAAATGTGCAGGCACATAAAGATTTTATTTTTGAAGCCAAACATTTTTATAGACCCTCGAACTTTGTTGTATAGAACTTGTCTCCATGCACTAATGAGTGAAATGCACGTGGAAAACCCCTGGTATAGAAAAGTCTGAACACAACAACAAATCGGTTAACTTCTATTGACAAGTAGTACTAGAGTAAGTTGCTTCCTTTCTTTCACCAGGATTCCCTGAGTCACCATTCTGCCTGTATGTCTGGGAAATGTCTGTGATGGGCCAATCTAGGAAATGGTAACCACAGCACTGTGCTTTAGCTGAGGTCGCTATCAGCAAATCAAGTGACTTCCATTGCACGTGTATATTCGATGACAAAAAAAAAATACATTTTTGAATGCCCATTTTGCACACAAAGTATCATTTTTTAAGGAATTCAAACTTTCCTTTCTTATGATGGTTAGGTTTCTCTGCTATCATAAAGACCAAGTTTCTGATGAATATTTTCTCCTTTTTCTTTTTCTTAGGAAGTTATTAGCTCTTCATATCCAGAGTCAGCAGGCGTGTTATATGGCATGGTGTATATATCACTGGGACCATGAGGCAGGAAAAGCACACTCTAAAAGAAACAAAACATGTTCTTCAGATGTCATTCAGCCTCAGTTTTATATATATGTTTTTTAAATATAAGGTATAGATCTTGATATCATTTCCTCAACATTACTGGCAGAATTCCTAGCTATTCTAAGATGATAGCACATTGAATTCTTTGAATAATTGCTTTTTATCAGCCTAGTATTTATTCTACTCTCTATAATAAAATTTTTGATAAATCAGAGCTTTTTAGTGTCATTCAATGAAGCCATAAATCCAAAGCAATAAGATAGTGTCCCATGTAATTTGATCCAACTATAGTTTTTATATGGCTTAGGAGAAAAAGAGAATTTTGAGATCATAAGAAGAAAAAAATATTTGCTAAACCTAGTCACCTGTGCATATGCCCTCTACCCAGTTGAAACTGGTAAGGAGACTGCTGGCTGTGGCAGAAAGGATTATTGTTTGGAGGGAAAAAAAAAAAAAAGACAAACCATGTTCTAGTGTCCTCAACACAGGCACAAACTCATAGTGAAATGCTAGGGAAGTCATTTAACCAGTTGACTTTTCATGTTCAACTGTCTTCACTGACAATGAATCCTCAGTTGCCATTTGCTTTCTTGGTCTGTCCTCCATCACCATCAAAAATGCCTCCCATGTGTATCCCATGACCAACTGATTGGTCTCCTGCCTCTTAGAGATCAACAGAGCCAGAGACATACCAGGTGAGATTAATCAAGGTTGACCACATACTCACCCTGGGGATGTCAGCGTGAACCTGTTTCCACCAAAGCATAGTGATGAGCACAGCCAAGCAGAGCTCCAACACGGTGCCAATCAGCATCACAGACAAAGTTCCCTGAAATTCAGGAAATAATAGACTGGTGTTACTTGAGTCAGCCTTACAGGGAGATGACTGCAGGGATAAAGACCTCATCAACCATCAGAGAAAGCAACTACACTATCGGGAAGAGAAAAGAGGTCCTCCCAAGCCTGACAGTTGGCTCAGTTGTCCCTGTGCTCATCTATTCCCTTGAGAATAAGAGAGCTAATGAAAATAACTAACTCACCCACTTGGTGCACTCATTTCTCAACTCTCTGAGGCATAGCCAATTGTTGACTCAATAAGGAAGCGGGGTGGTATAATATATTCCAGGATGGAGAATCAACGACTTCTACTCCAGCCTCACCTTTACTGGTTAATAGATTGGAAAAGCCTCTCTAACTCTCCACCTTCTGTTTCATCACTTATCAAATGTGCATTATAATATTTCCTCCTCAAGATCTGTGAGGACAGATAAGGGATTGGTTTATTTATTTGCAGAGAGTACATGCACTTGCCAAAGAGAGACAGAGAGACAGAGACAGAGAGAAAGAGGGAAAGGGAAAAAGCACCTCCCAGTGGGATGTAGTCATGCCATAGTCCCATCTCCTACATTTCTCCATCCCATCTGGATTTTGAGCACTCAGGCACGTGCCCATGGTGTTCTCTTCAAGCCAAGTTCAAGCCAAGGCTTCGGACTTGAATCATGGTTGGCCATGTGGGATCTGGCATTCTTAACCACTGGCCCTCAATGAGGTTTTGATTATGAAGCTCTTTATAAAATTTGGTGCTGGCATTGCCTTCTACATAGCTGAATCCCTTTGGATGTGTTTCCTCAGTCCTTGTTGGGTGACTCTAAGAGTTAGAAAAAACAATCAAGAGAGCAAACGACCACAGTTGCTAACAAACTAAACTAACACAGAGAAAGGTACTCTGCCAAGAAGTAGGTTCTCCTCCTTCTATCCTGAGGCATCCCTCAGGCAGAACTGAACACATGGATAAAAGAGAGAGAATATGATTGCATAAAGAGGAGATACGACTTATACACATTACCTAGAAGTTGTCTCTTCAAACAAATTCAGTACAACCTCTCTTACTTGTAATGTAAAATTATCCCATCATGAAATCATACTTTATCTACTCCCCACATTTCTCCCCAATTTTTTTTTTTTTTTGTCCAGAATTTTTCTCAAGGTGGAGTTGGCTGTGGCTGGTATTCATCTATACCAATACTATTAACCTAATATGCACATATGTTTTCTTATTATAAGACCATTAACTTGGGGAAGAGCACCTGAGATCAGTTCCACGCAGTATGGTCTGCAATCATGGGTTTAGCCAGACCTTTCTATCTGGTCCTCTTCTGGTTGTATCTTTGGCCTCGTGCTTTTATGATTGCATGACAATAAATATTTTGCAACTTCCTTATTTGTATGCTGCCTGTTTTCCTCTCAATGGGTTACATGCCCCTTTATGTTTAAAAGACGTGCTACTTCTGTCAGCCAATGCTCATGTTTTCCTTTTTCTAATAAGATAGGATTTCTATTGATAACAATTACTATCAGTTAATGTTTTCCACCCTATATATTTTAATCTCCCAATTTAATAAATCCTCTCTCTTTAAGTTATAACACAAGACAACAATGAGCAATTACTCATTACTGTGATTGCCTAAAGAAAGAAAATCCCTTATCTTTAAGCCCCCCTAGGTCCTATTCTCCATTTTCACTTCTGGGCCTGACATCTGCTCAGACCAAACCTGACATTTGCTCATCCCATCACACATACTCACCAGGTTCTCCGGTTGACATTTCCTGATCACTTCAGTGTTTCTGCTATGTTTGCCTTTCTTAATTTGTTTTTGAGAGGTTTGTGCTATAGGGCATGTGTGCTTGCCAGAAAGACAGAGAGAGACAGAGAGACAGAAAGCGAAAAATCACCCCCCAGGGGGGATGGCCATCCCGCAATCCCTTCTCCTCCATTCTCTCGGGATCTTGGGCACGCATGCACATGCGCCTGGTGTGAGTTGAAGCCTGGTGTGACTTGAACCACGGTTGACTATGTGGTAGTCCAGCAACATAGTCATTACACCAACTGCTGGTCCCCACATTTCTTAATTTATCACTCCATGTCCTAGTATTGTCTATTTGACAAACTCATATTTTGTGTCTCTATAATCAGATTTGAATATAGTTTGAATATTTGATATAGTTAGAAGATTAAGAAACTCTACCATAAGTTTTAATTTTTCATTATAAATCTTATTTACTCTTCAGTTTCACTCTATTAGTATGTAATCGCATGACCTCACGCTTTAATCTCACCCACATACTCCTTTTCTCTACATAGCCCTAGCCTTCTCCAAGATACCCAAACCAGGAAGAATAGAAAGATTTATAAGAGAAGGCATAACAAAGATCAAGGTTAAAACAATAAAACTCACAAAATTAGAACATTTCATCTAGAAATACTTACAGCCAGACTAGCGCTGGCCGTGAAGCAGTCATTTTTACCATATGGATCATGATGATAATAATAAGATGAGGTTGGGAGGGACTCTTTGTCCAGCTCACACCGTTGGAGAGCAGGACTCAAAGCAGCCAGGTTGACAGAGAGAATAATGAAACCCACTAGAGCAGCCAGAGTACTCAGAATGCTGAAGACCAGATTGCTGTGAACCTGAAAGAGAAATAGTGAGGCAGGATCACTCCCAATAAGCAACACATTTCTCTCATACCTCTTTGCAGTGCATTGAAATAATTTCTTTTCCTATTTGTATTACTTAGGAGATCTGGGATTGGCTATTTATTTCTGTATGCCTTCTCAGTGCCAAGCAAAATCTCTGTACCTAGAAGGTTAACACTTGGTGAAGCAAATGAATAAATGAAATGTTTTCCTTTCTAGGCAGTACTTCAGCAGCATGGCAGAGAATGCTACTCTTCTATTCTTTACCCTGGTCTGACAGCATTGCCTCCCTAAGGCTATACCTGAAAAATCCATGACAGTGTGTGGTCGAGGCAGAAGTGCTTGCGCACTATGTATAATTGTTGTTTTTTTCTCTTCCAACTTACTCAGAAACTCCTCCTGAAAGTATCAGCCACACGGAAGAGGCAGGTGATATCCGCTTAGACCAAGCTGACACCATCACTCTTCCTTGCACACCACCTCTCTCAATAGCACACCCATTCAAATATGTGATGATGAGTCTCAGACAGGCCCTGGTGTCTGGATAGGCAGTTGAGTGGCCATGTCTGGAACTGTGTAGATGGCTATAGGCAGAGTTCTAGACACAGATCCAGGATGGTGTAAAGTGTTGGAAGCAGTGTGAGGCAGAGGAAAAGGACTGAACTGATGTCAGGAAACTGAGGTCGCAGTGGTGGATTTGCCTTGGCTCTCAGCTTATTTGTGTGCTTAGTTCCTTGGTTTCATTTCTCTTTCTAGGTATCATTTCTGCATTTATAAAGTGAAGGCAATAAATAAGCTAATCTTGGAATTGGCTTCCTTTCTATTCCAACTCACTGAGGGGGGAACTGAGCTAAGACCATTCTAAAAGCTATAGTTTTAGGTCGATGGTTCCAGGGCACACCCAACAGCCATATAGTAAGAGTATTACTTAATCTTGTATAAGCCCCTCTTCTTTTAGGGACTTAACCTTTGCTTTGTGGCCCAATTTCCTAAAATGAAAACTAGAGTACACTGGACCTCCTGATACCTCCAGCAACAATCATGCTATCTCAGAATAAGCTAGGTTTGTCCTGCAATGGCACACTTCTTCAATATATATATATATATATATTTTTTTTTTTTTTGCCATAGAGCATTTGTGCTTACCAGAGAGACACAAAAAGAGAAGGGAGAAGGGATCGGCAGTTAGCGGAATGGCTATGTTGCTGGACGCCCATGTAGTCAACTGTGGTTTGAGTCCCAGACCCGGTGGCTTAAACTCATA